GTCTGCCCCCAGCCTCCCTGGCTGCCAGGGGGCCTTTTTTCTCCTGCTGTCTCCCATCCCCAGCACTGAGGCCAAGAGCCAGGAGCAGGGGAATGGTTTGGGGGGCAGAGGAGTTACTTACTTGGTGTGCTGGCTGGCAAGATGATGGAGCCCCAGGCCTGCTGGCCACTCCCTTGGTAGTACAGCTCCTCCCATTGTACAGTATGCAGGATAGTTCTCCCCTGTGGTCTTTCTGCCTCCAGTGGCCACCCTCCTAACGCGTCCCTCTGAACAGCAGCCCTTCCCTTTGAATGTTATGGAAAACAGTTTCTTTTCCAGTGCTTCTGGTTGTTCTGGCACAACCAAACCCTGACCTTACTTTAAGTTAGGAGAAGAGGAAACTGAATACCGAATTTGGTGGCCCTAGCTCTTCCTGTTTAGGAAGAGTTCTTGAACAGACTCACAGACACTCTAAAATATCAATATTGATATCGATCGGTTAGTACATTATTTTTAACGGTAAACTTGAAATCAATAAGCTCAATTTGGAATAAATCGTTAAAAGTTTTGAGTAGGTTTTTTTTAAAGAAACAAAACAAAACACTGAGGGGTGATATGATAGAGGTGTATAAAATCATGAGTGGTGTGGAGAGGGTGAATAAAGAAAAGTTATTCATTAGTTCCCATAATACAAGGACTAGAGGACACCAAATGAAATTAATGGGCAGCAGGTTTAAAACTAATAAGTGAACATTCTTCTTCACACAGCACATAGTCAGCCTGTGGAACTCCTTGACAGAGGAGGCTGTGAAGGCTAGGAACTAAACTCTCTTATAAAGAGAAACTAGATAGCCTTTTATGGACCTAACCTCCATGAATTTATTAGTCAGGGTGTAGGAATGGTGTCCCTGACCTCTGTTTGTCAGAGACTGGAGATGGATGGCACGAGACAGTTCGCTTGATCGTTGTCTTCAGTCCACTCCCTCCGTGGCACCTGGTGCTGGCCACTGTAGGCAGACAGGCTACTGAGCTAGATGGACCTTTGGTCTGACCCAGTACGGCCATTCTTATGTTCTTACTACATTTCTAGTTTTCTCCTAAGTTGAAACTTATTGTTAAAACCATTGTCTTAGCTAAGCTTCACATAATGTACATTGTGTATATATTATATGTAATAGTAGTATTAAATTTCTGTGTCGTAAACTCCATTAGAGATGGCAGATTTGTATTTATGCTCTAGAATTTTTGATAATTTTTCTGTGGCTTCCCCCCAGCCATTGATTTAATAAACAATTTGCTTCAAGTGAAGATGAGAAAACGTTACAGTGTTGACAAATCTCTTAGTCACCCGTGGCTACAGGTAAGAGCAGTTGCCCACCTTGTTTTCTATAAAAGCTATATATGACTGTGTCCTTTAAGTGAATCACAATTTGAATTAGGTAGCTCAAAGGCTTTGTAAAAATGGTTTTTACTGCAATGTGAAAATATCTCATAGTGGATATCCATAAAGATAGCAACTAGGAGTCATCCAAGCCTCATTGACTGTACTTACCTGCTGCATCCTTCTACTCTCCTCTTCCCACCGCTGGGATTCTGCCCATCTCCTTGGGCTGTGTCTAGACTGGCATGATTTTCCGGAAATGCTTTTAATGGAAAAGAGCGGCTAGGTTGGCAGACGCTTTTCCGCAAAAGCACTTTTTGCGGAAAAGCGTCCGTGCCAAGCTAGACGCGCTTTTCCACAAAAAAGCCCCAATCGCCATTTTTGCGATCGGGGCTTTTTCTGCAGAAAACAAATCTGAGCTGTTTACACTGGCCCTTTTGCGCAAAAGGACTTTTGCCTGAACGGGAGCAGCATATTATTTCCACAAGAAGCACTGATTTCTTACAGTAGGACGTCAGTGCTTTGGCGGAAATTCAAGCGGCCAGTGTAGACAGCTGGCAAGTTTTTCCGGAAAAGCGGCTGATTTTCCGAAAAAAAAAAACGGTCAGTCTAGACACAGCCCTTATGTATTCCTTCTCCCTGCCCTTCAAAATCTTGTCTTGCCCTCTTGTTCTTGGGATGTTATTAATGTTTCTGTTTTTCTGCTTTTACTCTGTATTCTCTATCTGGCAGTTGTGTGGTGAGATCATTCCCTTAATATTGCCATTTATTAACACTCAACTCCACCTGAAATACATGACAGAGTAAGAAGCTATTTCTCAAGTAAAGAATGAAAGCAGAATTTATACTGTGACTCATTTTAGAAGAGGCAGGTGAAGTGTGTTTGTAAAAGAAAAGTGTTGGTTCAGTTTTCACTCTGGCCCCTTGTAGTTCTCAGATCAGAAACTAAATAATCTTATAATTTTGCAGACAGACAAAAGAACACTGTGAGGGGAAAACCCAATCAATTATTTGAGGGGAATTAGTATTTCAGCTGAAAAGACATCATTTTTACATATTTCAAGTCAGACTTTTTCAGATATCATTACTTTTTCATAAATTGTACAAGGAGACCTCAGACTTATGATACAATTTGTTCCTCAGAATTGCATTGTAAGTTGAAACGTTAAGTCAAAACTGCTTTTCTCATAGGAATCAATGCTATAAAGGGGGATTTGTTCCTGAAACTAGGCTTGATATGCTACTTTCACCACAGTAACACAAATCATTGTACTAAATGAATTATAGATGACTAATACAAAAACATCAGTCTATTTATTTGGTAAACAGCATTCAAATAAATATATAAAATCACATATGCTTTGACTTTCCAAAACAGAGCTGAAAAGGTGTTCCTTGCAGTCACTCGTCTGTCTTCCATGGCCAGGGTAGTTTGTTGTTGGGTAGCCTTTTGCTTGTTATTTGATTGGCTGAGCCAAGGGCTGGAAGCCAATCAGGAAGTTTGAAGAGTGAAATCAGTAATTAATAGACTCAGCACATTATGTGTGCCATTCTCCCTATCTGCTTTTGGTGTAGGGGCGAAATGGGCAGTCAGTTGAAAAGCGTTGTAACTGGCATCTGATAGTCATAAATCTGAGGACTTTCTGTAGTACTTTACTGAAAGCAGAGGGATTCAACTTATTTCAATTCAAGTCACTTCATATGAACCTAATCCTGTTTGACTAGCACTATATTTGTTGACTGTAATCACCTAGTCACATTGAATAAAAGAATTAAACTGCTAACTTGATTTCTACAGCTATTGTGTTACCATTGGGTTTCATAAACTATTCACCTTATTTTTTTTTGAAAGGATTATCAGACTTGGCTTGACCTTAGAGAGTTTGAAACTCGTATTGGAGAGCGCTACATTACCCATGAGAGTGATGATGCTCGCTGGGAAGAACATGCTTATGAACACAACCTTGTGTACCCCAAACATTTCATTATGGCCCCCAATCCAGATGATATGGAAGAAGACCCTTAATGTTCACCATGCTAACTTCATTACAGAAAGGTGTTTGATAGAAGCTGATGTTGATACTTTTCTGGACAGATGTTGCTCTTTGAATGTTGATTCAGTCTACAGACCCATGAAGGATCCTGCACTGGCAGACGGATGGGCAAAATGACCTGACCTAAATTTTTCATCTCTGATTTTTTTTTTAACTATGAAATGTGATCTGGCAATGGGATAAGCAACCTTGGTAACATTTCACTAGCTGTATGGTTACAGATGATGTAACTGAGGTGTAATGCAAACAGACTGAATGCATGGTGTGAGTTTTCTGTTTTTTGTAGCCTACGCAATAATGAAACTATTTTTGTTATGGTTTCCTAGTCCCTTATTTACTAAGTCATAGAGTACTGTTTTCTGGTATTTAGATAAATTTCCACTTTCCTAGTTTGTACATTGTGGAAGGAGGCTGTAAAAGAAATTAAAACTGTATATCTTGACCAAATGACAACAAAAAATGCTGGATTAGGGCTAATTTAAAAGACTGAACATTATTTGACAGGTATGCTAAAACAATGAAAGTAAAAGAACATGCTAATTTGCTGCTGTTTAAGCAGTTGAATGCTGACTTTCTTCGCCCTGGTAGAATTTGAAGGATCTTTCTCCTGATGTCTGAAGATAAGATAGTAACACCAGATTTCATATTCCTATTGAATGCTAACTGACAATCAAAAAGCTGTGGTAGCCGTCAACATTGTCTGTTACAATAGAGCAATAAACCACAACCGGGTGTGCATTAATATGCAAGATTGACCTGTGCATTGGGTGTGTACCAAAGGCATTTTGCTTTAAAACCACCGAAGTAGTGCACAAATAGCATAAAAACCGTTATGTTGCATAGCCTTCCACTGTAGAAAAATAGTTGATAGGATAAGCAAAATAGTAAAAAAAACAAAACAACTTTCCTCTCATGTTTTGAATAACTTCAAAAAAATATTATGTTCTATTTAAGTTCCCTGACGCAGCCTGCCTGAAGTAATGTGTGGTCTGATAGCAACTCTCAATCCGTTTTCTATTGAACAAACTAAATTAGGAATCCTGCTGGGGAAAAAAAAATCACAATTGAACATGAGTTAAAGGGATTGTAAGGACATGAATTGTTGCTAGGAGGGCAGTTGGGTTCATGAATTAATAGAAGGAAGAAGCATTACCTAATTCAGTCTACCACTTTGTGCCTTCCAATCTTTAACCTGCAATTCCACACCCTTCCCTTTTTTCTTTCCCATTTCTTAAATTGTATAGATTATGAATCTGAATTAGGAATCCTAAACCAACTCTGAATTTAACTTATCAGAAACTTCTATATAAACATACCTAGCCACATCTTGAGAGCTGTGGCCAAATGTAGAGAGCAGAAATGTGCTTCTGACATGATGGTACAGGAAGATAGTTTGGCAGCTAAAGTCTGCTATATTTCAAGAAAAAAGTCTCTCATGCACTAGATTTAAGTGAGGTCCCAATTTACTTAAAGTTGTGAGTATCTGATAAAATTTCAGCCATGCGTTATTGGGAGTTGATGAAAGGCTGCGCTATCCCAGATAGCTCTAACTAGCTAATAAGAACTTGGCTTTGAATAAATATCCTTTTCTAAAAAATTTTTACATGTAAATTCTACAGGTTTCATCTGTAAAAGTAATTGAAACCTGTTTGGGGTCTCCTTTCTCTTTTAGATGAGGTAAATATTTTTATATACTAACAAATTTTTTATTACAATTATCAAAATTGGGGTATGTGAATAAACTTCTCTGAACTGATGCATTTTTTTCATGATTTTCCATGGTTGCTTCAGAGTTGTCAGCTGCTCTTAAGTTACATCTACACAGTGGTGCTATTTCAGGATAATGTACATTATCCCGATATAGTCTTCTGCACGTATTAACAGCCCATTATTTCAAAATACATTTGAAGTAATGGGCTTGTTATTTCGATGTCCCATAAACCTTGTTGCATGAGTATTAAGGGACTCGTTGGAATAGTGCTGTATTTCAAAATTAGTGCTGTTTAGACAACAGCCTATTTCAAAATTTGGCATCTTGAAATAAGTTACACAATTTGCGTAGCTCAAATTGTGTAGCTTATTTCAAGCTATGCTCTGTATAGATCTACCCTCAGATACATAAGTTAAACCGGCAGTGAAATTGGTGGAAACTGCCAAAGTATATCAGAGGGAAGAACTGGGGTCATAACTGACTCTTTGACTGCTTTCCTTCCTTTAGCTGTTGCATTTTGTAGGTACCAAGGCTGTTAGCAGCTAAAAATTTAGGGCCAGATTCTGTATTGTACCTTCACCAGTGGGAAATGCAGATGTGCCAGCTTTGTACAGCTGGAATACTGGCCTACTGCTGGGGCTACTGTTTGGCAGATTCCCTCCAGCCACCAATGTCAAAACATTCTGGCCATTCCACCCTGATGCACTCTTGCCTTGCCATGTCCTTATTCTGAGATTTGTGCAGGGGTTGCCATAGCTCTGCCTGTACTACTCTTACATGCAGGGAATTCTCCAGGGGATTGTTCTGTCCTTTTCATGGTGCTGAAAGTATGTAACAGAATTATAGTAGTGATCTTAATCTGTCCCCTTAACCTTGCAGCCTCATTGAGGGGAGACTTGAGGAATGGTCTCCCTGCAGAGAGTATTGAAACTGAATTTGCATACAAGCTGTTGTAGTTTTAATTTTTGAAGTAGCCAGATCACATCGAAAATCACTGGATTAGCATTGGCCTAATTTCCTGTAAAGTTTCTCATAGCTGGGTTTGGAGAGGGAAGTGACACTTTCTCGTCTAACTGCCACCATTTCTATAGCACTTTTCAAATTTGGGCACCATGTCTCAATGTCTGGTGGGGCTTTTCAACTTTGATATTATATTGCTGAATTGAGGCATTTCAGGACTTCCAATTACATTTAAAGTAATATTTTTAAAGCAGGGCTGGAAAGCACAATAGCAGGGTGCGAGGCGAGGTGGTGCCCATGGAGAAGGTGGAGGCCTAACAGCCCTGCCTCTACCCTTTGTTTCTATTTTAAAACACAAAATGAAACCTATTCAGTATTCTCAGTTTAGGTTTAAAAACAAAATGAGAATTGAAATGGGCTTTTGGACCACAAATTTAAAGCCATTTGGAGTTGAAAGCCAATAGCTGAAGTTGAGGATCCCTCTATCTTCTCCTACACTGGAAATAAACTTACTCAGATTAGTAGTTAAAGTGTGCTCCCAAGTTGTTGCCTTTTCCCCTAATCATTATGCAGTGAACTCTTCTGGCAGGTTGATAATTCTAAAATTCATCAGTTTTTAAATTATGGGTGAGGATTTTAAACAAGTAGTCATATTCTAAAAGCAATAAGTTGTGTGCATTCCTGGATCACTGATAGACTATGAAGATAGTACTTCAAGCCTCAGAACACGTAGGTTGTGGGCCAGTGCTGTAGTAATACACACCCTGTTGTGGCTTGATGCTTAAGATGAAAAATAACTGGAACATCTGTATTACTTTGATAGTTATCGCACACATTTTACAAGCCATACAATAAATGGCACAGCTTGCACTCTTTTTTAATGAAAGCCTAAAACATTTTTTGTTAAATTTTAAGCTGTCATTCACTAAGAACTCAGAATTATGAGTTGCTCCAGATGAATTTGTACCCACTGCTACATGATCATTAACCTGTTTTGAATTAAGTTGCATTCATGCAAGAAATAGTACTATGTTGATACTAGAAAAAAAGTAAAATTTGTAGCCTCTAAAGGACACTCAAGTACTTTTTTATATTTTTATACGATCCATTGATTGTAAATAAAGCCTCTAAGCTTGAAAATAAAATTTATTTCCCTATCAGATTTGTCTTTCTCCATTGACATGAATTCCCTTCTTTCTCATTTTAAAATATGTTTGAAAACCATTTGTCTGTATATTTACTTGATTATATGCAAGGATAACTTAAGTACAGATGTGGGAATAATCTTTCATTCAGTTGCTGCTGCTGTACTTATTTTTGCTCAGATCTTTCAAAACAGTTGACTCCTTAAAAATGGATTAAGAGAATCACTGCTAAGGAGTGCTGGTTTTTACACAAATATACATATTTATTATTCACAGTACTTTCACCAAATGTCTTATTACATCAAACTATTTTAAAGTAGGTCAGGTATGAGATGTTATATTCTGGCCAGTACCTCTTAATAGCTAAAGTTAGTGTAGAATTTTACTTTCACCTTCTAGAACGGTCATAGTTGTTTTCTCATGTGTTTAAATTCTTACAGAATAAGCAGTAACACTCTAGACAGCCTTTGTTATACGTTATTTTAAGGATATTGTACATTTATGTACTATAACTGGTCTAGCTTTTTACAGCTTTGCTATTATATTGTTGTAAGAGACCCCTTATTTTGATTCCATTAAGGATGTAAAATCCCATTTGATTGGTTAAAACTGAATGTTTAACTGATTAAAGGAGGAACAGGGAGAGCTAGAGCAGCCCTCCCATATGATGCATGGGGCTGCTCTGGAGCCCCTTGGCTTGTGGTGTGTCTGGGTTGGCACAGCCCCCTTCCCATGGTAGGCAGGGCAGGGAGCTGCTCCAGGCCCCACTGGTGAACTGGAACTGGTAAGCCTCACCTATTAAGGGTGAGGTTTACCAGTTAACCATTCACATACCTAGATTCCTTAAGAACTCTTATTTACATCAATAACACGAGACTGTGTCAGATTGCTAGAAGAAATAAGTGTTGGATTGTTGACTAAAAAAATTTTATCTTTTAGTAATGACAACTCTTATTTACTCAGTGTAAGCTCTAGAATAGTGGGACAACTAAAATACTTTAACAGAAAGAACAAACACGAAGGTGTAGTCTGCTACAGTAAGAATACACCTTTACTATTAAAGTATACCCAGAATGAAGCAAGCAGAAGGAAAACGTGACCAAATGAATACTATTTACTGGCTGCTAAGGATGTTACGTATCGGGTAATCGAATAGTCGATGCATTTTGTGACTCTGTGGCGCTGCTACTTTGAAGTATCCCCTTCTTCTCTCCTTTCCCATCCCTCTATCTGTTAAGGCGGGGGGAGAGGAGAGGAGCAGGAAGTGACTAGTTGACTATGCTGTCAACTATCTGATAAGCATTTGTTTATTGGATAGTTGACTAGTCCTTCACATCCTTACTAGCTGTACAATTGAAACCTTTTATATCAAAGTGATTTACCTAACCTTTTAGTGTTGCTGACGATATCTGCATATAGATCTGTGCCTTAGAAGGCACCATTTTTGTTCTGCCTTGGACCATCTGCATTGAGAATTGCAACCACAGAGGTGAGACTGCGGGGACTGCAGTAATTTAACTTTATCAGCAGGTCAGTGATATCCACCTCAATTACAAAGGAAGGCGACATAATTACATACAACCTTGAGTAGGCCAAACAGATAAAATAGTTTTAAACTTACTAAGTAGAAAGTCATCTGCAGACTTGTATTGAAGTTCTGCTTATTTCATATGTATTTAGTCAATACCCTATACAGAAACAACCTATTTAAACAGATTTGTGTTTACAATATTAACAACCAATTCAGTGTAAACTAAAATGATGTATTGAAGCAGGCCACAGACCTTATGAAATGCTCTGGTGGGTTGTCAGGCACCCTTGCAATAAGTGATCATCATGATGATATGCCAACAATGTAGTACAATAAAACCTGATTTCACAGGTATATCATTTACAAGCAAAGTATGGGTTAAGTGAAAACCAACAAACAGTTTGTTTTCATCTTCTATGTATACTCTTCTTGGGTTGGAATCTTTGGGTTGTCAATGCTGCCTTGTGGCCCAAGGAAACCCCAGATACATACCTGAGAGAGAGAAAGTATCTGGGGAAGCAGGAGGCCAGAATGATGGTACGTTTTCTATACTGTACATCAGCACAAAGGCAGTACATAACCAGTTAAATAAATCCTGGTTGCATACAGACAGTGGTCCAGTACAAGAAAAGTTTATTTTCTTAAATATGTAAAACTATAAAATGCATGTTGATTTCATTTTATTTACTGTGATTTTAATGGTTAGTGGCAGGCTCTTGATTACATAAATTCTCTTAGCTGTGGCTTTACTTCCATACAAGTTCACCAAATCCAGCAACAGGAGTTGAAAGAGATTTTGAGTGCTGTAGACTTACTTTCTGATCAGAATGTGTAAGTCTCTGATGAGGAAGCAGGCCAAAAAAATTAAAGCGGTCACCCATTTTCTTAGGATTCATTAACATATCATACCCTTGAAGCAATTGTTCACGCATTGCCGTGTCACTTATATTCCGCAATAGAACCTGAAAGAAAGAAATAGTCATTATGCTTTTGTCTCTTGCTCCTACTATCCCCCAAATAATCCTTATACACAGATTCCGTTCTGCTCTTCCTTTCACTTCCATAATAGCACAGAATTGATGAGATTGAAATGGGGCATTCTGTTATCTAAAATTACTTTTAAATATATAACACTACTGATTAGATAATTAAATTTCACTTTAATAAAACTTAGAACCTTGTTTCCATATACTGTAACATGGTTGCTACATAAAACCTAATTGCAAAGAATATTTATAGCAGAAGCTGGACCATACCTGCAACCGGACATCGATACCCATATTCTTTAAGAATTCTTGTTGCTTTATAGGACCCAAGGTGGCTACTCTTCCCTGTGTCATGGTTCGAAGATAGCTGAAATCAACATCTGCGGTCAAGTCTGCTGTACCTGGAGCTATTAATACATCATGAAGTTTATGATTGCGGAAACTCTGAAAAATGAAGTTACAAGATAGGTGTGCACTGGCTAGATTATATGGCAGTCTGTCTTTAAGGCCAAAGTATACCAGAAGGAATAAAACATAACAGGCAAACTGATTTTTAAAAATATTTATGTTCTCTAGTTAGACACAAAAAACTCACTGACACAAAGGCCTACCTCACCCATCCTTTTGACAGTCAGCCCTGTCCATATTTATTTACAGCTCAGTTCTGCAATTTGTGCTCATGTAAGCAGTCCCTCTCTGAAAAGTAGTTTCACTAACTGCTGCTTACTAAGAAGGTTAGTCATGGTTCTACCTTAGTTGAATCTCAGAACTGTGGCTACTTTCATCCACTTACACAGTAAGGTGCAAAAGATAAAATTCTCAGTTAACTATCAAGCTTACCCTGAAAGTGTCAGTCTTATTTCCATTGTGACCATAATCAGCAATCAATGCAGCTCCACCATCCTCTTGAATACGATCTGTAAGTCTCTGAATGATTATGCCAGCATCAGGACATATTTCCACATGATCTCTGGTTTCTTGATCCTAATGCAGGATGTAAGGATTTAATACATAAATCAGCACATGCAAAGTAGAGCAAGAAAGTTTCTTTATCTTGTACCCATTTTCACATTAGTTTTGACATAGCTAGATCATACCCTATGTTCAGCTGTTCTAGATTACCCTAGCAGTTTGAGTTGGTTTTGGCCAGTGCTTAATGTGTGGAAAAAACCCACGTACAACTCAAATTTCCCCACCTACTCATCCCAGAGTCATATGAGGGAAATTCTCTAATAAATTAATACTAGCATCATGTTGTCATTATTATGGCATAATTGGAGACTGAAAAATACTACTTCAGCTACCTACTCATTCACAAAAGGACCACCTCAGCTCAAATTGCTCACATTATGGTCTTATCCCAAAAATATTTTTAAATTTGAAATTGTGTCACTCAAAGTGTAGCTTTGGTTTTAAAAGCTGACAGTGGTTTAAAAAAATGCAGTTGTAGTCACAGGTAGTGCAAACGATGACCTCGTTTCAACAGAACACTCGAGCACAGTGTTGAGGGTCAGTGTAAATGATTCACAATTGTCAAACTAGATCAGACATTTAAATCAAAGATTAATCTGATTAGTACGGCACCATACAGTACATAATATATGAAGAAAAGATATATTAAAGAGCAGACCCCTGCCTCTCTCTCTTCTTAATTATTTTTCACAGGATGAGACACAAAGAAACCTCTTTTCTGTATGGAAAAATACTTTCCTATGTTTTCCATATGTTTTAAGGTTTTCATTTATGAAATTTTTTATTGCATCTGTTATGACTAATAAGCAAAAAAGGCATTCTTTTATAGTCATTTCTAGCAACTAGGACAACCAGCAATTCCCCCCAAAAATCTTTTAATAGACTCCCACTTCACTGCAGAAAACATCTGTACTAACCCTTGCTCCTGCTCATTCAAGCAATCTTATTTATATTCTATAGACACTTCTGGTAGTTTGAGGGGTCTCTTTCCCAGACATTTGTTTTCTACAGACTTTAGAAGTGCCAGGTATGTTTCAGCATAGGAAATTCCTGAAAATAAGTCACCCCTAAATTATGGACCAAATACATTTTTAAAAATGTTGAAAAAATAGTTAACATATAAATGAAATGAATATTCAAAGAAGAGGATTAATATCTACTAACAAGTCGCAACAGCATGCTTTGTTGATTTAGGCAACAGCTCCACAAAGACTGGTGCTTGTGTTTAACTTTATGCCCTGTGCATTAGGGATGTAGTCGACTACTTGGCTACTTGCTCCTCCACCCCTCTTATTGCCTCCGTATCAGCTTAAAAGCTGGTTCTCTACAACACTATATTTGAGGTGCTGTCTGCCCCCCTCCCTATGCTGCTGCCTCTATTAGAGGTAGCAACACGGGGTATGAGAGGCTGCTCCGACTAGGACCCACCTCATGGACCGGGGCTGTTGGACCCAGTGTGAACTCATGCTGGATCCAGAAGCTACACTCGCCGCTGCTCTGAATGTTAAAGGTAGTAAGAGCCGGCTTACGTGTCTCTTAACATCCCTATAGTGCATAGCCCTATTTAATCCCACTCAGAGTGCATAAAATTAAGCACATGTGCAAGGCTTTTCAGGATTGGGACTTTATAGTGTTAACTCTTTAAGGCAGGAACAATCTTTCAGTAGGTTTATGTACAACACTTCACACAAAGAGGCCAAGAGCTACAGTATTGCAAACAAAACGATAGAATGCATTAGAGTTACTGCTACTAACTTCACAGGGATGTACCAGCTTCAGTCTTGTACAAGCACTGTTACAGCCATCATTCCATTTGGAAAAGGAGAGATTGGGTGACGGTAAGGTTTTGAAACTATTAAATGTTCTTACTACTCATGAGGAGCAAAGCTACATTTTACCTGAAACAAAACGTAAAATTCTGCAGTGGTTTATATGAGGTTAACAAAATGACCCAATGAGAACATTATGGGAACCAGAGAAATTGTACCTGAAGAGCCAATAATAACTGGATGCTTGAAAAAGTAATGCAGTGGTAATTTAATGTAATTCAGGCAGACATAATCTTACCTGTATGAAGTATTCTGAAGCAGGGGTGGCAGATGGTGCCAGAACAAACCGCAGTTGATCAGGAACTTTTGGATCTATATCAATCAACACTTCACGCCATCCTTGTTCTGTTCTCTATTTAATCAACCAAAAATAGGTATTTGATGTTAAACCATAACCCATCAAAACGCATTTCCCTATCCGATTTAACTAAAAATTTATCAAAACATAGGGGCTTGTACATTTTTATAACAAATACCAAATGTACATTGAACTAATATCCACCCAGAACCCCCAGCCAACTGCTTATGGGGAAAGCCTAGGAAAATGGTCTGCTCTAGACTGCTCTGAAGGTCAGTAAATGCAGGTTTAAGTACATCCATAGAAAAAATTAAGAGTTGGCACTTTAATGAAAACAGTCTGCCTTCAGCTCTTTCTCATGTGAACTCAAGTGTATTAGGTGATTGGAACCTTAAGTTTTATTATTTAACACTGCCTATCAAATTCACAAACAACCATCTCCAGAATTTTATTCAAGGTATCTAAGCAAGCTACTTCCATAACATTCTGGAAAGATTTAAATTTCTCCTAAACCCTTAGTGGCCTTTTTTTTCCCCCAATAAAACATACAATATCTTAAACTGAAAAAATTAGGATTAATTAGGATTTTAAAGTGGTGGAGTTAGTGAGCAAACCCCAGTCTACCTTGGTAATGTTTTATATTTCCAAATACCACACATCCCTTGAGCAGAAAGCCACACACAAGGAGTTTCTAGATGTACCTGAAATTTATGTATTGGCAAGGCATCAAAAAATTCATGCGCTAAATAAAAGCTGGTGCCTGTTTAAAAAAAAAAAAGTATAAAAAGGTCATCAAGGTTTCAACACAGAAAAACATTAATGGTAGCCCTTTCTCCTTATAACACCTTTCATTTGGGGATCAAAATGTACTTTATAAACAATAAGGAATTAAAATAGTCAACATCACTATGAGAGATGCACTTATTATTCCTGTTTTATCTCTGACTGAGGTAGAGATATATTAAGGACCAAATTTTTAAAAGTGGCCACTATCTTTGGAGACTCTGTGGGTGCATACCACTTTTAAAAATCAAGTTTAAACTGGGAACCCAAAAACAAAGTGCAGATGAAGTCAATGGGACCTGCATGCATTCACATTGGCATAAAGTCCATTAAGATAGGCACACACAAATGGAGGATGTGAAAAAGAGTGTCTACTTCAGAAAATCTGGGCCCAAAGCCTGCCCACGCTCACAAAAGAAGTAGGGGCAGCTTCATACAGAATTACAATTCTATCCATAATCACACTGAAGAGTAGTTCTCACTTATAAAAAGGTCACAAATGAGTGAAGAAAGCCATCATTACAACAAAAATAAGCATAACTACCTTGTGGTACATCTTGCAGCTGTTGGTACCAAAAAATTGGAATTCCAGTCTTGCTAATGCCTTTCATGTAGACAGGGGCAGCAATATCAAGCTCTGATTGTATATTCTCTCCCGTCAGTGTCAGTGCTTGGATCTCACTGAGTTTGGGGCTCACCTCTACCAGGTGAATAGAAATGTCACATTTACTGAGTAAAGAGCCAAGCTGGTTAAACACCTGTAAATAGAGAGGAAGGAATTCTGTTAGAGGCAGTTGTGTGCTACAGTAATGCAGACTTGGGTTAGGAGCTGATTTTAACAGAGCTTGTACAGCTGGAGACTAAAAAAGGGATATCTGGGGTGAAATCCTGGACTCTGGCTTCAGAGGGACCAGAATTTCATTCTTGTGTTCTGGAAAGGAAGGTATCCAGGTATCCCCATCTAAGACCTGATCCCAGCACCATTACTTACCATTATAAGCCAGGGCCGGGTTCAGGTCACTAGTCAGCAGCAACAACAGAAACCTGCATGTCTGTATCCCCATAGTTCATATTAAATTATGTTATCAATGTGGCCATATGGGGGAAAAAAAAAATCAAAGCATGGCCCAACGTGAAAAGGTAATTCTACCGTCTCTCCAAAAATCCTCAAAAAACTCAATTCACATTGAGAGATCATTAAATGAAACCCCCCTTGTCTCCACCCCACAACTGTAGGGTCCTTTTATAATAAAAAGAGCTTCCAATTGCTCCAGTGGAAGTCATGAGAACTTTGCCATTGACTTGAACAGGAGCAGAAAGAAGCCTTATGGTTCTACAAAGAACTCCTCAAACTAGAGGATAGAAATGCAGACCCACATCCTCAAGAAGAAGCAATGAATGGAAGCCTGTTGAGAACAACAGGAGTCTGGCGTAAAGAAGCAAGTTCTGCTTTTGCTGGCGAACCAGTGTACTCCAATTTCTGAGTTTTCCAAAGGAGGCTATATAAGAACAATGTACTTTATTCATTCCACAATAGTTATTTGACTTTTGTCCGTGAATGAAGGAGTGGGAGCTCCTAATATTTCCCCTGGAGTACTGAATTCCAATAATAACTTTCCTCTTGGTGAGTAATTTCATTAGTACTTATTGGTGAATAACTGAGAAACAGACAGCACATCAGAAAGGGTCTGATATCCCAAGAAGTGAGGAGCCTCTGTCATTCCCACTGGAATAAAAGAATGCAGATTGCTCAGAATCTCTGAGATTCAAGCCCATATTACTGTCCTGTTTCTGTAGCTCACATTAAGGCTTCCTAATTACAATTAGCAACGTTCATATGAACGGCTTACTACCCTTACCATTCTTTTCTATACATATATTTTAGTGGTATATATTTATCCCCCTCCCTCAATGAAGTTGTGTATTACAGTAGATTAGCGATGGATCTGCACAATTGTGCTTCTAGTATCTAGTGTTCTCATCTCACTTTGTATTTGTGGTATTTTAGTGAGAAAACTGGTAGGCTCCAAACAGATCTGCTTAGGTAAAATCTAAAGTAGTAGTTTGGTAATCAAAATGCATTCAGTAGATAAGGAAGCTTCAACACATACTATAGAATTTAATTTCTGATTTCAGGTTATATTATGTTAGCTGTGTGAACCAGAAAGAATCCCAAACTAGTAAACTCTAACATACAGAGAATATTAAATTCTTTTTACGTACCCGCAAAATATCATCTGTAAGAGTACCCCTACCTGGGCCTAGTTCCACCAACTGGAGAGTTTTAGGTTTGCCAGTGGCAATCCATTCACTAACATACCATATTCCTATTAACTGTAAAAAAGAAAATACACAACATTTAGTAGAAATTATAGCATCAGCAATACATATCCCCTGCATTTCACAGAAACTAGAATATTTAATTTATTTTACCAGCCATACACCACGGTCTGTGCTGAAAAGCGGCTATGTAAAAATCTCATCCTTTTACTAAGCAGCCGACATGACTCCTAAATGTATAGAGGGAGCAGATCTGATTACTGTCAGCCCTGAAGAACTAATACAGCTCTAGGAGACTGAGCTGGATTCTTATCTAAATTTTGCATCAAATGCAAGTCACTTATGGATACCAATTTAATTACATAGGCAACTATCCCTGATATATTTTTGTAAGGGCAACTAAAAGCAGAATTTGGCCTGCTTAGTTTTAGAATATAGTATGGCTTTTAGATCTCATGCTGAATTTTTAAGCCTGAAAGTTACAATTTCTCGCTTATGTACAAACAAATTTGGCATGAAAACAATTTATACAGAGTACACATGAAGCCCGCAAATGTGTTTTGATTTAAACAAAGTCACTTTTCAAATTTCTGTTTATTTTTGATCCTCAGGAAGGACACTGATAACATATATGACCATATGTTCATAAATTGTACTTGTAAGTAGGAACATTTAAAAAATTCATTTTATATATTACCTCCCCAAAGATTTGGCTTATCTCAGGTGAAGTAATAAAATCCCCTTTCTCTCCCAGCATGTCATGGTGCATATAGTAACCCTAAAATAGAGAAATGAATATCACATTTATTTTTCGATTACTGATATGTAAGCCTTCATATTTCACCAAGCTTTAAAAATAAATCAAATTTCTAGTCTGCTGAAGGAAAGTAGTTATTTTAATACTGAAGAAATGAAACACATTCAAAATACTCTGTCAAACTCCTCCTATGGTAAATGTTTGATTGATGCAACAAAAAAAATGGATGTACAAGGGAAAAGAAAATAAATTAACTTGGGTCTGTAGAAGAAAATAAGTACATGTTAAAACAAAACATGGATTTTTATTACTGTCCCTATAACTTTCCCTTTTTATGAGGCCCTAGAAATCTGAAATTGACAGTGTTCTGTATAACAATTCAACCTTCTATGATCACTTGATTAGTCTGGATTAAAATTACAAAACTGCAGACTTTACAGCATGAGTGGGGATCTTTTTTTGGGTCGGGGTCTGCTGACCCACAGAAAAGCCAACTGGGGACTGCCCACAAGAGAGAAGGAGAAATAAAGTCTTCACATTCCCTTTTCACACTAGAGCTTTGGGGAAGGAGGGGTGGTGCAGGGCAATAGATTTTGTGTGCTTCAGACCCATGGGAAATGGTGAGTGGGGCCTGGAGCACCAGCACAGGCTCCCCAATGCTGGGAGGCAGGAGCCCCAAACCTGGGGAGCTGGATCCAGGCAAGCTGGGGACCGGAGGGCCTGAGGTTCCCCACCCCTGCTTTATAGCCAACTAAAGAAATAATTATTCATATCACAACAGAATTCAGCATTGCCATAATAAATTAACAAGATGGTGGAGGAGATGGCGCCAAACTAGCTAGTACAGAGACACACACAATAAGATATTAAATAGCTAAGTCAGAGGTATACATCTCAACTTATAAAGGGAAATTTAGTGAGGAAAAATCTCACTATCTTCCCATATCTCACCTTCCTCCCCCAACGGAATGATCACAGTATTGTCTCAGGAGAAAATTTTTGTTTTGTTTTCCTAACATCTGGCACTCATGAATATTTCTGTAGTGTAGGAGATCCAAATGAGTGAAATTTCAGTTTTG